TTTAAAGACATCACCTTGGACTTTGACAAACTGGGATGGCATTTTTCATTATTAGGGATAGGAATCAAAATCATATGGCTCCGAGATTATCAATTCCTTTATCAATGCCGGGATGATTTTCTGACACTTGCGTGTTGCAAAACACTGACATCAAATTTATGCATCTACCCTACTGGAAACCTGTAGGCTTAGCAGATGTTTTCTTTGATTAAGAAAAACTAAATATTATTAAAAAAGTACTGTACAAACCTTCTCTCATTACAGACAAACTGTTGCTACAGGTAGCTACAAACGACAGCTTTTTTCCCCCAATCAATGTCACTACAAACCGTATGCCTGGCAGCCAAAACTCATCTCACTGGCAATGGCAAAAGCATTCTGTTTTCTGTCCTGACTCTGTCTCTATGATTTGGACTCTCCTGACTTGGAACCAAACCTCGATTTGGTCTCAACTAGTCCTGGCCTTGGACTGAACAATGGTGGTTTTGACTACAGCAACCATTATCTCTACAATGACGGGATCCGCTGAAGCAGACGACTGAACACATACCTCGCCCATGGCGCCGTAGTAAGGGTTCCCCACCATGAAGACTGTGGTTGTTGGAGGAAAGAGCTCGTCTAAGCTCTTGAAGCAGGTCAGAGACGAGTAGAAGGCCTTGATGTCCTGAGAAGATGAAGGGAAATGTGGGTGAGCGAGGTATTGTTTTAACCAATATTAAGTTTCCATAAATTCCATAATTCTACTTAGTCTGTATAATAAACAAAACGTATCATGTCATTAGTCCTGGAGTGTGTGCGCTAACATTTTACAGAAGACTGCTTATTAACAGACACATGTTGTTGACAATTGCAAGGTTTATTTCAGAGTTTAGCTTGTCTTTACTCCTCAGCTCAGGTAGTTGTTTCTGCAGCCTCATGGCCCTGCTGGAAAACAACATATCTTAGCACAAAATCTAGTTGTTCTGCAACTATGCGTGTATCAGATGAAGTATGTATATGAGTCAATAAACCTCATGGAACCACAGGACTGTAACAATCTTTCCCTAACTGTAAGCAAAGGGTTTGTTGTTGTAAACACTGCAATCGTGGAGCTTAACTGGTCACAGGTTTCCATGACTTTTATCTGTGTATTCCTTTCTTGTACGTGTATGCCGGTACCTTAACCACGGTCTGGTAGGCGAAGGGGAGGACCTGCTTGGACCACTGCTTCTCCAGTTCCACCACCCCGTTGGCTTTGGGGACGTACTTCCTTCCCGTCAGCAGCTGGCCGTACAAAACTACCGCCGTCTCGTTCACCACGATGCCTTTCCTCTTTAAGAAACTGCAAGAAAGAAAAATCAAGGAATAAAGGAAGTGTATTTATCATTATACAACACAAAGTTGTTTAACAAAATGAAAGTTTGCAGTCCTTCATGCTACACACAGAAAAATATAATTAAATATACAGAACAGCATTTAAAATAAATCCATTGATGAAGAAAGGAGAGGTCACACTTTATGGTAATTCCAAAATATCAAAAGGTCTTGAATAGATTTTGAACGCAACATGCACATTATGTTCTTGTTGGGTTTAATACCAAGAAACAGCAATGTTACAAGGTCCCTTAGCCGCCAAGACAGGAGAAAGGCCCCAATATGGTTTCTAAACATTTGAAAACAGCTGTATTTTCTCTACAAGTTCCTGTAACAAAGTCTCTTGTTTCATTGTTGTTTGTGCCTTACTGTTCAGTTAATCCCTGTACATCCTTCACCCAGTCCTTCTGCTCCCTGTCAGACAGGCAGGTGATTTTGGTGGGAGGAGGAGTGGAGGGCCTGTCGTACACGCTTTGGACACCAGGTGGTTCTTCTAAACAAAACCTGCAAAAGAGAGTGATAGGTTTCAGTTGGAATAGCTGCCTCATGCGTTGCACCAATACAAAGACAAATTGTGTGCTAGCCAAAAACAAACAGAAAGTTTGCTGATTCTGGGCCATGTGTGGTCTTCACCATCTGATATTTTTAAGCCACATTGTATAGAATCTGGCGCCCCCCGGTGGTAGTGTCTACAGGGATCCTTTGCAGCATGGGGTGTGTATTTTTTTCATCAACATAATCTTTTCATTTTAGTTCTTACTGACTGATAAAAAGCTTTCCATGAAATCACAGGGATATACAATGAAAATAACTTAGAATAAGTAGAATCTATCCATTACAACAACCTTTTGTCTCATGTGCAAATCAGAAAACAAAAACCACACACATTCACTAAATAATTATTGGCAAAAGGCCCAGCGCTAATTCTTACTTGACGTCTCCGTCTGACACTGCAACGATGCGAGCTTCCTCTAGATGTGGCCAGTTGACAAACACAGTCTTCCCCAGCACTTGTGCAGCAACATCATCACACACCTAAGAGCATAAGAGCAGAGGGGGGGAAAGGGCAACACGATAAAGAGGGGGTCAGTACATTTTAGAGGACATTTGATATGTAACGCATGCAACAGAGAGTAGACAACAAACTACAGCTTACTCTCATCTTTTAAATGATGGTCATGCAGATGTAAAATTCGGTGCTATTGATGCAGTGGTTTCCAGACAGTCTAAATCGTCAAAGTACAACACATTGTTTAGGTGTTTTAATCCATTTTATTCTGCCCACAACCTGAGATAAAACACCTCGTTAAACAAAGATCCTGTGACTTTTCTAGGGCCCCATCTAGAGGACCGTCACATCACTGTAGTGTCAGAAGGAGACACCAAGTAACCATTACAGTGCCTTTGCCAGTAACAATATCATTGATGATAATATTATCAATCATTAAAACATGTATGTTGAGCTAATTAGTTAATTAAGTCTGCAATCATTATTTTAGCAGCGAGATCAGTAAAAAAACAAACAAAATCTCACCGCCTCTCCTTCCTTGCTGCGGAGGATTTCCAGTATGGTGTTCTCCCCTCTGCTGCTCTGCTGGAACACGACCACCCCAATCTTCTTCTTATAAAACTAAAAGTGAGAGAGCCCACAGACAAGAGGGAGGCAGACAAAGAGAGAGACCTTAAAAAACTGCAGCTGACATTTCTACACTCACTTTTAATTACTTCCAAGTAGTTTAGAAGAACTAAACACAAGTTATTACTGAGGACGTTCAGCTGATTTGGAAAGAAAGTATTGTGTTTACACTTTTTAAGTCTATAATTAGGGTAAAAGCATCATTCAAAACCAGTACACTGTACATGTTTGCACACACACTTACCTTGTGCTTAATGTGTTGCAGTGTGGGAAAGCCACAGAAGTAGAGAGCCGAGCGGTCGACGGGTCTTCGGACATAGTCCAACGGTACGTGCCAGGCATCCATAGGGATGTGTTCTGTCCTGTAACAACAGACACAATACAATGGACCTGCAGTGAACATCAGGCTGCATGTGAACTAAGTGGGTATAATGGCTGAACTGGTTTCTGTGGCTGTGTTTGTGTGTGAAAGCATGGACAAAAAAGCTACTGTAATTTGACAATAAAACCATGACTAATTACCATTGCCCACTTGTTTTACAGGTTTCATGTAATCTGCATAATGCACTGGAATATTATGTTCTCCTTGTAATCTTGTGTATCCTACTGGGTGTGGCAGACTGAAACGGTGATGTTAAATGTTAAATCCAGCTTGTATCCAGGCTGTGGGGGAGTATATGTGTGTACCTACCTGGTATGGCAGTGGACGATGTCAGGGAACAGCTGAGGCAGCTGGGAGGCGTATGCGTAGTCTGTTTCATGGTCATATGAGTAGACTGCACACTCTGTGTGACGATTCCTGGCCTTCTCTTCTTTAGTCAGCTTGTGATTGCAGGGCTCCATTGCTGCTAGTAAGCACCGCTGTTCAATAAATATACAACACAATATACACACATAATGAGTATGACGTCTCATTATTCCGCCCCCCAAGTCCAAGAGTGTGTGTGTGTGCGTGTACCTCATCTATGAAGGGAATGAGAACCACTGCTTCCCATTCCTGCTGCTTGCCATTAAGGTCAGTTTTAAAGTCCTGAGGGTAGTACTCAATAATGGAGGAATTTTCACTGGTCATCAGGTGCTGAAATAACAAAAACAGTACATTATCAGCATTATTCTTTCACGTTTGGATCTTGCATAAACTCGAATGTTGGCTATTAGCGCAATATTGTTGCACGTGTACCAAGTCAAATCCAGAGATTAAAGGGATACTTTGGTATTTTTCAACCTGGAGCCCATTTTTCCATGTTTTTGTGTCTAAGTGAGTCTAATGGACAACAGTTTTTGAAGTTGGGCCAGTACTGAGTGAGAACACTGAAGCCAGCAGCCGAAACAGGCTCCAAAGTAATCCTTGCGGGCTGCTTGTTTTTTGCCACTGACAGACTCAGACTGTTGTGATAAGTCGATCGAGGCAGCACATCAGAAACTGCTGTGTCCTGCGAGGTAAAACTACTGTTTTTGTCAGTGGAGTCTGGTGGCTATCAAAAGATTCTGTTAAAACAAAAAGGATTGTACTCTTTAGGAAAAATGTGTCCCTGTAGGGATCTTTTCCATAATGTTGTCAGACACTAGCAATCCAGGTTGAAAAATACCACATTTTCCCTTTAAGTATGTACATATACTGTACATCCATATTATATGTGCATGAGAGGGTGTGCTTGGATAAGACGGTGTTACCCTGTAAGCCTCAGGGAGCAGCTCCTTGCTTGCAGCAGGCAGGACTGCCAAAAGCTGCTGGAAGGGCATGAAAGGTTTCCCGAGGTCAAAGGTCAGCTTTAACCCTGATATATTCCTGATGTCAGACAGGAAGGGAGCGTAGTGGTAGGGGTAGTACCTAGAGAGACATTATTTAAAGACAGATTTATACCTAGAACAAACAGTGGTCTCATTATTGTCCTCAATCGGTGATTTGTACATTTTATTCTATATGCTTTTCCACTGGAGGACTGAAAGACACATTTCCCTGCAAAGCTACCGACTGAATAAATTATATGACTTCCCCAGGTCACTGGAATGAGAAGAAACAAAGAGTAGACAGTGAGTAACATAAGAAAGACAATCTTACCAGCTCCAGGATTGAACCCCGTGGTAATAGTAGTGGAGGATCCACTGGATACCTTCCACATAACACTTGGCCTGCTGGGCTAGAAACTCACTGCAAATAAGAGAATACAAACATATCTTTCTATGAAACTTGTAAAATAATGTATGTAATGCATCCAATACTATTTATAAATCATTTTCACATTTATGTTTGACCGTACGTATGTCTATTCATAACTCACATACTCTCTCTAACCTGCTGAGGGTGAGTAAACTAAACATGTACCTCAATGTCAAGAATTACATTAATAACTGTAACCTACGCATACTGTCAAAAAGTTACTGACCAGTGTGATGGATGACCCTCAATGAGTTAATGCAAACTTCAACACAGTGTATTACTTCACCCTCAAGGTGGTGTTTGTGAAGTGGGGATGAAAAAGCATTTTTTATGTTTGTCCATAATCTGCAAGCCCTAGCCCTGCCTCCTTCAGTAAGTCTCTCTATGTATTATGTGTGTGTGTGCTGCTGTCGCTTCGTGTTCGTCGGTCGCGTGCGTGTGCGTGTGTCGCGTGTGTCTATACACTTACTCAGACACCACATCCACGCCAATCTTGGTCATATAGTAGGTGCGCTTGTACTGTCTGAACTCCGTGTCAAACATATCGTCCTCCTCTTCCTCGTCATCTCCTTTTCCTTCTCCAGTCACTTTGTCTGATGAGGTCAGAGCTGCCAGACAGAGGGCAGAGTTCTACACACAAAACAAATGATTAAATACAGGGATATGTGACCAAAACTGTGAAAACAATGAATCAATGTTGGGTTTGGTTTCTATATTATTTGGGGATAACAGCAGACCTCTTTCTTGTTGGCGTCTTTGCTGGCGGCTTCCTTTTCTGCTGCCAAGCCGGCCGCCTCGTTCAGATACTTGTTACCAACTTTACTCTCAAACCACTTCAAGTCCACAAACACCTCACTAAAATGTTCCCGGTCAAACTGGAGCAAGAGAAGGGAAGGAACAGTGTCACAGATTTAAACCATTATTTATGGTGGTTTCTCAAACATATGCCATTATAGGATAATTCACTAAGAAACCCCATGTCATTTCATTCACTTTCACACTAACTTTATCACACCTCTCTGCTGACTGAACTACTCATGCTCACTTACATTTAGTACATGCACTAACACCTACTAATATTTGCTCTTAAAATCAATAGTAACAGTTATCATCTAACAGAAAATGTCACTGATAATGTTAGGCGTTGTCTCACCTCAGCAAGCTTCTCCAGATATTTCTCAAAGGTTCTGAGGTTTAGATGGCCGTTCTCATTCAGATAACCTGAGTCACAAAAGAGGATTCAGTTTCTGTATGAAATACCTTACAGCAGCAGCTCATATTTCTATATTAGCATGCCTGACATGTAGAAACCAGTTGGACCAACACAAACCATACTTGATACTAACAACTGACTTTGGTAATATGGGATCAAGAACATGGCTGTGTGTCTCACCCCCCAGGCTGGGCAAAACGCTGATGTAGGTCTTGTACAGCAATGGCAACGCGTCATGACTGATGTGAAGATGAGGGAGGTGAGGGATGAAATCGTTTCCCACTAGGAAGCCCATTAGAATCCAGTCGTCTATTATTCGCTCCAAGTCATAATCACAACCGATGTGATTCTGCAAAACACACAAACATAACCACAACACAGATTAACAAAGATTACAAAACAAAGCTAATGTTAGCAACACATTGGCTAACTAGCTAGCTATTCTACATCGAGTCGTGTACATTGTTAGCTAGCATTTTGCTAACATTTACGTCAAGCATTATGTTTTGTTAACATTAACCAAATTAACTTGACTATGTCGCTTTTACCTTTATCCATCTTTAAAATATTTTCAACATACATTAGCCTAGCAGGTAGAATATCTAAGTACAAGAAAGGCGAAAGATGGCCGAGGTTCTGAGCGAGGCTTGTTTAACTGTTATTGGAGAGGGGGGGGGGGGTTGGAAAGGTCTTATACGCACTGGTTCACGCTCCATAACTTGGTGTGTCTTGTGTCAACCCTGAGTCGGAGAACTCATAATCCGAAATGTACTCTCATCAGAGACCAGGTGAAGCAAGTGGAAAAAGTTGTCTTCCTCTGGAGCCGTTATCCTGGAGAACAGAAAAGAGCACGGTTCACAAGAACACCTAAAGAAAAGGCAGAAAAGAAAACTACTTTCCAAAAACTGATAAGGGTAGTAAGAACCTTTTCTGGGTTTTTTCTTTCCTCCCAAAGCGGAAAACCTCCCTCTCTGAGCAGAGGAGAAGTTTGGCTCATGGCTTGGTTAAACCACAACATTATCCTAGCAACACAGAGAGCAAACCAGTGTGAGCATCCAGAGACGGGTTTGAGGATAAACGCAACCATCCTCGTCCAACTCCAAACGAACCACAACCCTACCAGGTCACGCATCCAGGGCCCATACAGGCGTGTCGGGTGTTGGGTTGTGATCTGGCATAGTGTTCTCCAGAGCGAATAAACTGCGCATGATCTTAATGTTCTCCCTCCCGCCCTGGAGTCTCAGAAGAGGAGAAAAGACAAGCTTAGTACTAAGCAACATTCGGGACGTCCCTTGGCTGGCAGGCAGAGATCGACAGCTGACTGAACAAGCTGAAACTGCAGTGTCCACTGTCTTTAAACCCAAGCTGTCTTACACGACCTCGTGACCGGACAGGTAAAAAGACCTGCTTTGACCCGTTTTTTTTTTTCCTCTGGCCCCCCAAAAGCCTTGTTTTTTCCCCGGGTTTTTTTTTTTTTTTTTTTTTTTTTTTTTTTTTTGGGGGGGGGGGGCGGAAAAAGGAAAAAGCGCCCCCTTGTTTTTTTTTTTTTTATTTTTTCTCTTTTCTTTTTTTTTTTTTTTTCTTTTTTTTTTTTGTGAAAAAAAAAAAAAAAAAAAAAACCAAAAAAATTTTTTTTTAAAAACTTTTTTTTTTTTTTGGAAAAAAGGCCTTTTTCTTCTTTTTTTTTTTTTCCCTTTTTGGGGGAAAAAGGTTTCCCCCTTTTTTTTTTTGCCCAAATGAAAAAAAAACAAAAAAAAAAAAAAGTTTTTCCAAAGTTTCTTTTTCTTTTTGGGCCTTTTTTTTTGGGAAAAAAAAAAAAAAAAAAAAAAAAAAAAAAAAAAAAAGGGAAACGGGTTTTTTTGGGGGAATTTCTTTAAAAAGGGGAAAAAAAAAGTCGGTTTTTTTTTTTTTTTTTTTCTTTTT